GGAGGACGTGGGCAGCAGGACCGCGGCGCGTCTCTGCGGTCCCGCCGCCCACGTCCTCCGCGGCAAGAAAAGCTGCTCCGTGTCTCCCTGGTCTGCTGGAGGAGCGGGGGCTAGCTGCGCGTCTCCCTGGTCTGCTGGGGGGAAGCGCCCACCGCGCCACCGAAGGCGGCGACAGTGGGGGAAGCACCCCGCACTAGCTGCGCCCTCACCCCCGTTTGTAACTAGGGATCGATGTAACCCGGAGACTTCCTGTACTGCATATGTTTCCTCTGTTTCAGTGTGTTTCTTGTCCTCTTTCAGTGACTGGTTTACAGAGGCTGCTGCCAAATATTGTAATTACTCTTTTAGTTGGTGTGATTGAATACTGAACTTTCAGAAGAGACTTCTAACCCCTTTTTATGATGGGGGAGGTGGGAAACCACGTTAGCGTCACATAATAGAATTAGTTTTTCTCTTTTTCCTTTTTTAAAGAAAACCCAGAAAATTGCAGGATAAGAATAAGAATGTTAAAAGAATACTAAGAATCTTGTTAATTTATTATTTATTATTTTTATTACCATTGCCACCAGGAGTTGAGCCTTGCAAAACTGTGGTTATTCATGGATCATCTTTGCAGATGCAGATGAGAACGCGAATACCAATTTTGTATCCATGCAGGGCTATAACTAGGAGTCCTAGTCATGGGCCAGGACACTTTTGTGGTAGGCATTGTCCAAAAACAGAACAAGAAAAAAAACACATGGAGTTACTGTGAACCATGTGCTGCAAATATACCTTTTTTCCACTCAAAGTGGAGTTTCAAAATGTTTAATAAAATCTGCATTCTCTTATGTAAATGACAGTCACAATGGTTTTTTTTTTATATTGTAGGAAATAATGGACCATGAGAATAATCTCTCTCCCATGTACTTTTGGTTAATGCTTTAAAATCTTCTTTACATGAGGATGCGGACAAATAGCTTTGAAGAGGGAATTGGGTTACTCTATTAAACCAGTGAAAGTTGCAGGTTAAGTAACATTTTCACATGGGATTCTTTATAAAAGGCCACCCATTTAACCAATGCCATCTGTCAGCAGTGTCCCTAATAACCTTAGTGCTGTCTGAAAAGGATTTCCCCTGGAAGAAAAAGAGGTTGCTGGAAAGTTAGGAACTACTGAAATGGTTTGGAGCGAATACCCCCATTAGAAACGATGCCAAATTAAATAAAACAAAGAAAATATAAATCTATTTGGCTTCTTTCTGCAGAAATGGTGCTGGGCAGCTGCTACAGATCCTCTGTGGCTTGGAAACTGCAGGCTAGTCCCAAGTCAAAACTCAACACTCCAAGTGGTCTATAGAATGCCAGCATTTGAGGCCAGATTCTCAGATGGCAGGTATCTGCTTGCTCCACAGACTTCCAGGGAGTTATGCCAATTTGCACCAGCTAAGGATCTGGTCCTGGAATTCCTCTCCAACTTCATTCTTTTTGTATGGAGGTCAATGTTGACATGCTTCTTCCTTTTATCTTGCTGACCTCACAAGTGTCATGTGGATTAATTAGTTAGCATTTGTTAACCACTTAAATGGCCTCCCACCCACAGTACGGCACGAATGGCCGGGCTGGAGCTAGCCCTGCTCACAGCATGGTGGGACTCACTGGGCTGGAGCAGCCTCCCCAGGCTGGAGTAGCCTCCCCACCTCAGCCCAGTGTGGGAAGAGGACTACTCCAGCCCAGCCAGGCCTGCCATGCCGCGTGCTGCTCCAGCCAGGCTGGGCCTTCCACGGACAAGGGGCTGCCAGTTAACTAGTAGCCAGTAAGCATCACCCAGCAAGTGTGATGCTTACTGGTTAACTGCTGTCATCCCTAAATCATATGGCAATAGGTCTGTATAGTATGTCAAGCAGGATTCTATTGAATGAACATTTCTACTGTCAGACCCCTCTCCCATTTTGTGAATTTTTATGCTAGTGGTGGATACTGGATCAACAGCCAGAAACTCAAGTCTGCTATTCACAGAACACGACAAGGAGAGGGAACAGTAGCATACTCAACTCTCTCACCTCCCTTAATGTTCCACAACTCAGATGAGCAGGGAATACCGTGAGATGTTACACAGTAGGTCAGTCTCCATTCCCATTCAGTTCTTCACCTATTTGAGAGACTAACGAAGTGCCAGGTATTTCCCATTTTGATAGCGGGATTTATTTTTTATTTGCTAAATGGAAAATGACTCTAGTGATAACTACTCCTAGTTATTCAGCTCGTGTCAGACACTTTCCTGAACAGTTGTAACTTTCAGGTTTGTTTGGGACTGGATTTGAACTTATGACTTAAAGATGAGTCATTCCAAGTTCCCTGTGCCATGCCGCTTTTCCAAGAACTGCAATTACTACATTATGATTGTTTCCTTTACCATGTATTTGCTATACATAAATTCAGCTGGAAATTCAATGATTCAGAGGAGGTGCAGCTCCCAGAGTATTCCAATTGTTCTGTATTTTATCAATATATGGCATGATGTGAATAAGCTATAAGTCCTATGCTGTCCGGTATTACAAAATGCTAGTATCAGAGGAGTAGCTATGTTAGGCTATAAGGTGCTACAGGATGCCTAACAGATTTAGTCGTACTTTGTCATGCTCATGTCCAAATAAATCTCCAGTTACTCTTTAAGGTGCCACAGGACTCCTCATTTTTACACAATGCTAGTCATATACAATCTGGGGAAACAATTGCTTTCCCTTTCTTCCTCCCATAAGTTTAACTAATGGTCTGGTAGCACTTTATAGACTAACAAAACATGTAGATGGTATCATGAGCTTTCGTGGGCATCTTAAGAAGTGGGCTGTGCCCACGAAAGCTCATGATACCATCTACATGTTTTGTTAGTCTATAAAGTGCTACCAGACCATTAGTTAAACTTATGGGAGGAAGAAAGGGAAAGCAATTGTTTCCCCAGATTGTAAAATTTAACTATTTATCATAATGTCTCCTCCTTTCATGATAAGGCAGAATTTTTATGGATTTGGTTTTTATTGGCTGTAGATTAAGGCCTTGCATTCTATTAATGTATTATAATGTAAACATAGAAACACATTCAAAAGCCTCACATGTATGATACATTGAGCTATACAAGCTGTTGCTGGGGGGGAGGGAGGAGTGAGGGAAAAGGGGGAGAACCCATTTCATCCAGAAACTTAAATGCAAAAGTCTATGTCACTTTTTTTCCTCTTTTAAATCAACCATGCTGATGAAGAAAGGCAAAGGAACCCCCCCTTCCCCCCCCGGATTTTTCAAATCTGTCTTTTGCAGTAATAGCTGGATGCGATAATCCTAACTAACAACTAAATAAAATATATTAAACAGCTTAAGATTTGGGATTTGCAGTTAGATGTGGAATAATTCCATAAATAACATGCATGGATAAATATTTCCAGAAGAGTAACATACTGTAAAATGATTAAAATTAAAACCTACTTAATAAACTAGCCTTATTCTGCTTTTGAAACAAAGCATCTGGCTACAATAGTTATTACATTGATACTTAGTGCAGTAAAGATAATGTAATAATGATGGTATAGACCCAACGTTAGATAGGCTATTAATGGCAGCAAAGAACTGAAACCCTGGAACTGTATTTGACAGCAATATAATAACTGTAATAATTATCTCTTATAAGGTACTTTACATTTTCAAAGACTTGTACAAACATTATCTAACTGATCACCTATATACACCCCTGCACATTATATATGTATTCATAATCATGATACAGAATGATCAGTGATGTAAATATTACTGTAAAATATCATTGCTATTTGTCTTATGAGAGCATCCAAAGGCCTCAGTCAAAACCGGGACCCAGTCATGGTGCTAAGTCAGGTACAAACACAAAGACCAGTCAAGTGGGACTCTGAACAAACAGAATGCCTTCTCGGGTTTGGTTACACACACACAACTTTTATTAGCAGAATGGCAACTGAGAGACAGGATATACAGCTTACCTGTTATGCTTCTTCATGGGTGAGCATTTCTGCTGCTGCTGCTGCTGATGATGAAGAAAACGATGATGATGATGATCACTTTGAGAACTGACACTGGTTAGCACAACTGTTGGCCAGAGGCAGGCGAGGAGCAGCAGTTTTATTACCAGGACCATGTCTATCGAAACAGACAATGCAGTGGATTCAACCAATCCACCTCAATGATCTTTCACTTTTAGTGCTCCAGTTATTTAGGAGACAGCATACCATAAAGAGGATGCAAGTATAACGAGGCATCACTGAAAACAGAAGACAAAGGTATCCCAGTTTTGCTTTCCTCTCTGAGCTCTCCTTTTATTCTAGCAAACTGCAAAAATTCCTTAAAATCCACATACTAGGCTAGGGTACCTGCTTCCAAGCAGCTGCAGTTTGCCTTTAGAAATTTAGTAAATATAACCACTTATTTTGTTGATTCTCAGTTTGCTCCATTTCTTCCACTCTTTCAGGATAGGTTCTTAGTCGAATGACAGTTTACTGAGTGAGTGATAAAGCAAATGCAGACAAAAGGGTGATGTCAAACATTTAATCCTCCTTAATCCCACACAACACAACACCATATACAAATCTTTCATTATCCTATAAAAATTTGTGCTTAATGAGACAAGGTCACTAAATTAATCTTACTTACTATATATCTCATCAAAATAATTTTATTCACAGATGAAAATATTTCGTTAATTGAGTAAACAGCATTTATTCCCCAGATTACTGATATTATTTGCTTTTGTGATTTGCAGTAGCAAGCATCTTGACTGGAGAAATATAATTAATTCTGGGTCATGTAACTTGTTGAGAAGAACCCAATCCACAAGAATTCTTTTGCCAATGTTTTTGGCATTGAATCTCAAATTTGGACATTCCCCAGCCTCCTCCCCTCTTTTTTTTAAAGCAGCTATCCCTTCACTTTATAATAAATATATAGAACACAACCATGAGCGAGATCAAAGAAACTTCTATCTATATATTTTAGAGTGTGTCTGTCTGTGTGTATCTGCGAGTCCATTTGTTCAAGAACTCGTCCTAAATGGCACGAGCTAGAGGCACCAAATTTGGTATGCAGCTTCTTCTTCTACTAACTGAAAGCAGAGTCAGGGTTTGGTTGTGCAAGGACAACCGTAAACCCTGGGGAAAGGGCCGTTTTTATATGACATGCAGAGGGAAGGGCTGCTGTTCAGAGGGCTATGATGTGAGAATGGCCATTGAGGGCAGCGGGACCATAGGGGAGAGCTATCCTGTAAAGTGTCCACTGGGGGCAGCCGTACCACCAAGGGAGTGGCCATTAGGGCTGGGACTCTGCCATCTTGCCTGCCAGCACACCAGTAAGTAGCTGCCCTGCCCCCAAACCCTTTTGTTAAGTCATAAAGAGGGCTTATCGCTGCTCCTGTTGAAGCTGAGGAGTTTTCTCATTGGTTTAACTGAGGGCAATATTGGATCACATTCACTAACTGATACACTAACTTCATCCCTTACAAACCATCAGCAAGTTAAAAGTCATCAGAAGTAATATAATGTATGTTTATTTTTTCTTATATAAAAAAGTAAAAGATACTCACAAAAGGTGCTAAAGTGACCATGAGAGAAACTGAAATTTTCTATCTACAGCAGTGGTTCTCAAACACTTCGGCTTATGGCCTATCCTGCTCAATGCAAATCTTTCTGCAGCCCACCACCCAACCACCTATGATGACAAAATGGGTGCAAGAGGGGATGGTGGTCTCAGGGGTCTGGATAGGAGGTAGGGTATAGGAGTAGGCTAAGGGTTAGGGGTCTGTGCAGGAGGCAGGGTGCAGGAGCAGAGTGGAAGTGTGGAGTCTTGGTGAGTGTGTGTGATGGTGATGGGGGTGCAGAGTAAGAGCATGAGGGATGAAGGGAATGGGGGGCACTTGCTCAGCTCTATGCTCCCCCCAGGCACCTCCCCACTGCTCCCATTGGCCATGATTCCAGCCAATGGGAGCTGCAGGCGAAGTCTCCAGGCCAGCTGCTTTATGTGCTGCTGTTCCCAAGTCAGGGTGAGGGGGAGCTTTAGCACACAGAGCTGCTTCCCAAGTTCAGTTACACAAAGGCTATGTCTAGACTGCAGGCTTCTTTCGAAAGAGGCTCTTTCGAAAGCATCTTTCGAAAGAGCCTCTTTCGAAAGAAGCCTGCAGTCTAGACATAGCCTTTGTGTAACTGAACTTGGGAAGCAGCTCTGTGTGCTAAAGCTCCCCCTCACCCTGACTTGGGAACAGCAGCACATAAAGCAGCTGGCCTGGAGACTTCGCCTGCAGCTCCCATTGGCTGGAATCATGGCCAATGGGAGCAGTGGGGAGGTGCCTGGGGGGAGCATAGAGCTGAGCAAGTGCCCCCCATTCCCTTCATCCCTCATATACATTATATTTAACAAAATTATGTAGGCTTTATTCAGGGCATGGATCACAGCCATTTCTGACTTATCTTCACTAATCTGTTTAGTCTACCCCAACAAGCCTAAGTAGCTGCAGTTCGAGGGGATGGAGGGAGAGGCCCCTCTCCACTGGCCCTGGCATAGAGCTGGCACGGCAGATTTGTGCTGGGGCTGGCATGCATCAGAAGTGCTCTATGCAGCCACCCGGAGTCCCTGCATGGGGCTTGTTAAGGGCGGCCATGCTGCTTAGAGGAACTTAGAAGAGATGGGCCTTACACTTAGTCCAAAAGGTGGTAAGATTTATAGTAGCTCTCCTTTCGTTGATGAGGGAGTTCCATAGCTATGGGACAACCAGCAAGAAAGCTCTGCAATCCCAGCAATCTGATTGTATTCACAGATAATTCTATACTTCCCAATGAGTAGAAGAGCAAGAGGGCCTCTGGGTCATGTGGACCTGTCCCCACGGAGAGTCTTGATTTAGATCTCGTATTAAAGATTGTGCAGTTAACAGAGAACTAGGGATAAGGTGTGTGTGTTGACCTGCGGAGGTTTGAAAATATATTAATGCTTTTTGTCTTTTTAATTTTATCTGTCTCCCCCTTGCAGACGTGCCGAAAAAGGGATGTGGATTCCCTCAACTGGGAAGCAATAGCAAGATGCCATTTTGCTTTGCAGACCAGCCATTGGCGTTATTTTCTGAAAAGAGCCATGGAGGGATTTTAATAAAAGTTTAGTGCTGGCCCAATTCCACACTCATTGAAATAAGTGGGAGCGCGACTGTTGACTCCAATGGGAGAAAGTTTGGCCAAGGTAAGCATTTTTTTTAAAGTCCTTCCCACCATGTCTCAGCTATAGTATTTTCAAGAGTTATTCCTGACCAATATATCACTTAAATGCAGACTTTAGAAGGGAGTCCAGCAATATGAAGTTGTCAACAGAGGACTTCCCACTTTCAACTTCTGTGTAGTAGCAGCCACAAGGGAATCAGATATCATGATGAGCAAAAGGATTGGTCATACTAGAGTAATTCTCATTTCTCTCTGTAAGGACAATATTATACATAGCAGATTATAACATCAATATAAATAACCATTAAGAGAACAGGTTAATCTCCTGTGCATTTGGCAGTAATGAATGCTAAAAGAAATCTTCTTTCAAGAGAAACAAATGCAAGATAATGGACTGTGCTTGTAATGGACTAGCCATTAGTGTCCATTTACAGTGTGTTTATATACAAACAATTAAAATAGAACATCTGGCTCTCTGCTATCATTAAAACATTTTCTTAACTTTATCTCTTCACTTTTACCATTGCCAGGCTTCTAATGCTTATCTTTCAAGGACAAGACAGTGTAAAATAGCAACTTGAGAACTAAAGGGCAGGCTGAACCAGCTCCTCCGCAAAGAAATAAAGATAATGAAGCAAACTAACATCAAGGAATGAAAAGCCTACAAACACTTTCAGTGTTACAGATAGTTGCAGGGGAGAAGGGAGAGGTTCCCATCAACAGCAAATCATGAAGTGAAGCACGTTGGTGATTATAGAAACAGGATGAAAAAAAATCCAGTGTTAGACAAAACTGACAGAGGGCTTAAATTTTCAGATGTGCCAAGCACTTGTTGTAGCTCCTACTGAAGTCAGCTGAAGTTGTGGGTGTTCAACACCTTTGTATCTCATTCATAAACTGCCCAAGCCACTGTAACCCCTGAAAAGGAGCTGTCCATGACACCTGCAAATTATCTATTCAAAACTGGATGAGGTACCATGAAGGGAAATGAAGGAGGAGTCATCTACAATGATCCTTTGTCTCTCAAAGGTCTCTAAATCACAGGGTAACATACGTGGGGAAACGTTAAAAATGAAACCTTCTAAGCAATGTTAATATAAAAAATGCAGCCTAAAGAACGAATTAGAGAGGGGCAAAACATGATTATCGACCTAGAGCAGTGCCAACTCTGAAAGAATATTAACCAAGGCAACAATTCCAAGAATGATCATGTAATGAGATAGGTAGTATGAGTCTTTGTATGGTAACAGATCTAGTACATAGTATTTAATATTTATATCATAATTACACCCAAAGGCCCCAGTCAGGATTGGGGTCACATTGTTCTAGTTATACAAATAGATGAAGAGCCAGTCCTTACATGGGACAGCTCCCCAAAAATCATTCATCTGCATTCCCTTGTAGGCTCAAGTATGCTTTGAGAGAAGGAGAGGAAGCTCATGTATATAATTCCAAGTTATAGCATGACTCTTACAGTATATGAAGTACCTTATCAACGTCGGCCACCCTTAAGAAATACGAGCTTAGTTGATATATTTGTTGCAGTCACTGGTAAATCCTTTCTAACCCTATGGTTCTGTGATTTTATGGGTGTGCCTGCCACTCCCGTAATAGACTCTGGGGAACAGGAGAACACCAGTGATGGTCCCTAATTTAATTTTCAGTCTCCACACGCAAATGACTCCATCAGTCACTGTACTTCACCCGAGTCTTATGGCTTGTGCCTTGATGATCCTTGAAACTTGTATAACACGGATCTACATGGCTGAACAAGGGACAAGGCAGTGGTGAATCAGGCCCTATGTCTTAAAGTGTCTGAGGTAACAAATCAGATAACATAGCGATGGGTACAGCATGAGAACCTGAATGGAACATCATAGAAATATAAAGCTAGAGTAAAAAAGTGCCTCAGTTCGATTACTGTGTTTGCACAATATGTAGCAGGGGGGGGGGGGGAGGGCCTTAATTTCTCTTTGGAGCCTGAGGCAGTAGAACTAACAATAATATCATCAAAACAAATCCTGAATAATATTTGATAGGTAATCAACCTCACATCACAATTAAAATCTTAGCTATTTTTCCCATCAAGTTTTTGACAGGCTGAGGTTAACAATCTCATGAGAAAGGAAGGTTCTGAAAAATATCTTGATATTGCAGACTGGGTTTTGTTAGCAGCTTGCTGATCCTTGTCTAACATTAAGTTTCCACATCATAAGTATATTGCATTGTCCCCTGAAAGCAAAATCTAGCCCAAAGCTAAACATCTGGTAACAACTGAAGCCAGTTTATGTTAGGGGGTGCGATTTCTTTGTTCATGGAAAAGCATATGAGGTGGCA